ACTATGCTTTTTTATAGGAACTTTTCAAAGCAAAGGTTTTATGTGTCGGACACACAACATTGAAAGTTTCTGGATCCACAACATTGAAAGTTTCTGGACACACAACATTGCAAGTTGATAAAAGCGTTGTAAAAAGCAAAGGCCCTCAAACTGGTATGGTACGATACACTGCGGTATGCCCCAAACACGATGCGGGTTTGCAAACTGAGATTGATACATATCACGGTTGAACCTCTCTCTTTGTGTAGTAGGCTTTCTTTGGTTAAAAGATCAAAAATCTGCAACCCAAAAATTGAAAAGCCATTCATATCGTGCGATCAATTGTGCTTGCTGTCACCTTTCCAATCTCCCCGCTAAATTTCCGTCGACAAAGTTATGTAAATGAAAGGTACTGGGGCAAAAATATTAAATCTTTAATTCGCTTTTATACAGACGTAAAACACTGCAAGAACGGTTCTTTTAGATTTCGAGTATTGTAAGGGTTATATCATCACTCACTTTAACATATGTATGTATGTATGTATGTATGTATGTATGTATGTATGTACGTATGTATGTATGTATGTATGGGTGCATTCCAAAACGTCAAACAACAAAGCATCAGTATCTATTTTGTCCTCGTTAACCTCCAGACCCATTCGCTTTGCCTCTCTATGTAATCCCGAGAAGGCAGAACAGACGTAGCCCTTGTTTTTTACAGATAATCAGTCCCATTGTGTAAGTCGCAAATTGGGCTAAATTGTACGACTCGACAACATTGGCATTGTCTACTGTCGTGCTGAAATAAAGAAACGACGAAAATTGTCGAAAATTGTACAGTGCTGCCAAGTTTTTCCGTTTTAATACACTAGTCGAGTGGAAATTTTAGGCAATGATGTGAAATTTTCGATACGATTCGACTCTCGAAAAACGACTTGCATTCGACACGACTCGCGCAATGAGGGTGAATATCGATGTAGTCGGCATACGCCAGCAATTGTACGCTCTTGTAAAGTATTGTGCCTGAGCGTTTCAGTTCTGCGGCTCTCTTATTATCTTCTCCAACATCAGATTAAAGAAATCACACGAAAGGGAGTCACCTTGTCTGAAACCTCGTCTGGTATCAAACGCCTCGCATAGGTCCTTCCCAATTCTCACTGAGCTGATGGTATTCCTCAACGTCATTTACACAGCCGTATTAGTTTCGCGGGGATACCAAATTCAGACATCGCGGCATAAAGACAACATCTCTTCGTGCTGTCGAAAGTGGCTATGAAATCGACAAATAGATGGTGTGAGTCGATCTTCTGCTCGCGTGTCTTTTCCAAAATTTGGCGTATTGTGAATACCTGGTCTATGGTGGATTTTCCAGGCCTAAAGCCACACTGATAACTGAACTGCGTACTGCCTCAAGCAAATTTTACATAAGAAAATTTCTTAGCCATTTCCTGTACGTCATTTTTTGCTTTTCTTGAGAGCTAAATACTGGCCTTTATTCATAAAAAATAAGATAGGTTTCAAGAGCTTTATAAATTGGCATTTTCATACAAATTTTCGATTTATAAAACAATTAAAGTCTTCTTTTTTTATGAATTTGGTGGTAAAAATTTAAATTAACTAACAAAATAACTAATGTGAAATAAAATACAACAAAAGAAAATAAAATAAAATAAAATAAAATATATAAATAACAAAATATGTATAAATAAAAAAATATATAAATGAAATAAAATAAAATAAATAATAATAACACAAAACTTTTTGGCAATCGCTCCAACCGAGGATCGATGCTAGGACCTACAGACTTGTAGTACGCAGCTCTCACCACTCGGCTACCGTGGACGCCAAACCCGCTCGCGTTGTTTGCTTACTTGTACAATAGACAACAGCTGGCCGTTTTTACCAGCGTTGCCGTAAGTCTATGCTTTTATTCTCAAATTACCGGATCCGGTCCAGGTTGTACTTGTATTCGAATTAAAAATTCTAAGGGCAGTTTTCTTAAGTAGTTTTTAAAATTACATCAACTAGAGGGCCCTTTTTCATTAAGGCTCCGGACACTTCCTCAAATCATAGCCCTTTTAACATTTTTCCTGGTCGTCATCAATATATCAATAGCACTTTAGGAAAAATCTTAAGTTTCAAAATGCCACAAAAAAGCGCCGAAATACGTAAACTTAATTTTGAGTCGTAGATTAAGAATCTGTACTCTGTTTTCCTAGGCCAGGTCATTTTCCCGAAATATTTTAAATTCTTATGAAAACCAATCAAAGTTTAACTGGTAAAAAATTAAAAAATAAGGATTTTTTTATTTTGTAAATTTTTTTCATTTTTTTTCTAAATTCTGATCTTTTACAAACAAATCAAGCTACTAATGAAGAAAATAAATGGAGAAATTAAAAAGTTATGAATGGTCAAATGAAAATGCGTAATAATTTTGTCGTATGAAATATGAGTAGGAAAGAATGTTACTCATACGCCATGTGTGAGTATGTTATTTTTTAATTTTTCCGATTAAAGGTAAAATTTGTTCACATTCACAATGCAAATTAAGATGAAAACGTCTTGAGAAAATGACCAGATATAGAAAAACTGTATACCTATCCGTAATCTATACCTAAAATTAAGTCTACAATCCTTGGCGTTTTTTTTTTTGTCAATTTAGCCTTTCTGGCAAAGTAGGGGAAAAATGGGAGAGTAAAATCGGTCCTCTCTTTGTCAGAAGTTGCAAGATTTTACCCGAAGAATTTTTGCTGGTAAAATCTGGTCAAACCATCTGGTGTCAAACCATCAGCTGTTCAAATGATTTCAAATTTGAAAAACAAAAGTGCATCTGCATTTTCACCTTATTAAATATATCCCAGCGAAGAAATATCAAGTTTTGTAAGTATTTTTGTTAATTTGCTGGAGTATTTGAGCAAAATTCGGAAGATCGCCAAATGATAAAAAAGCTGCTATGTAAACAAAAAATGGCGCCCACGGTGTATTTGACAGTTTTACCAGTTTTTACCCGAAAAGCGTTCCCGTACTTTTTGGCTTTTCTGTCTTTCTTTGATAGCAATTTTGCTTTTTGACAGTTTTACAGGTTTTATCTAGAAAAGTAGAGGAACGAAGCTATTGTGTGTATAGTATATTCAAAAAGGTCTGTGTGTTCAT